AGGTATTATCGCTATTTTCGCAAAAAAAAATTTTTTTTATTTTGTGATGATCGCACCATTTTGAAAACAGCAATAATGTAGTATATGCAATCCGCTTATTTTACATCTACTGTATTATATTATTACTTTAGGCGGCTGCTCTCTGAGACCGTGGGGTTGTGTCCAAATGTATTGTTGTTGTCTTGCTCGACGTACTCGTAAAAAATTTTATCAATCATTCCCGGTTATTCCTTTACAATCTTCCAAACCATCAATTACTTCACTGTCTACGGATTCAGCAACATCGTCAAGTGATATATTATTCCAAGTCGTAACATTACGAAACCGCCTGGATGCAGTGGAATTGCTTTTGAAGGACTATGTGATCGACGACACTTATTTGGTGAAATTGGATAAAAATAAAGAGAGTACCGCCACCAAAGTTATCGCCAAATCCACACCTACTCCACAAAAGACTTCTCCCGAGGAAGTTCAAGATATTCAAGACGCATCCAGCAAAGAATTGCCTGTCACTCACTTGGATAATGATAATACGTCTTCACAAATTAATCAACAACGTGCAACCGATTTTCTAACTACTATTGAATCTATTGACTAACTATTCGGTTGTTTTTTGAGTTAGTTACAGAATGGCAGTTTAGTAGGAAAAAATTAAGGAATAGATACACAATTCTAATAGGCTAACAATTTTAATTATCTTATTAAATATCCTATAGTGACTCAAATAAACGGAGAGAGTCTCTCACATAAAAAAGTCCAATTATCTTTTGGTTGGTCCAATTATTGAGCCATGTTCGCTACAATTGCTGGCTGATTTATTTGTCAGCATGAGGTCCAATAATTTAATAATACGCGTTTTAGTATAAGATGTATTTATTGCAATAGACGCTAGAGCGAATTTAACTCATGTTATGGCACCAAGAATACAACCACTCTATTGATACGTGATGACTACGCTGCATCAAGGTTGACGGTTGATACATAAATTTTGCTGATCAGCGTGTGCATTGAGTAGTGCGCATAAGTATAGTCCTTAAGTAACTCAATGTGTCAAGAGATAATTATAATGTAATGGTTGACTACCAGTTCTCCAAGTTATTTACACTCCGCTGCCAATAAAAGTACGTATTGTATACGGAGATTTAAGGTATAAAGTCGAAATAAACACTAGAATACGGGTCCGGTTCATTTCATCGACAATCATTTCGCCGACAGTACGTTTTACCGACATAAATTTCATCGAAAAACCAATGATAAGTGCGATAAACAATGTGTCACGTGAAATGACTCGCTGTGTGAGTTGTCGGTGAAGTGTACTGTCGATGAAATGATTGTCGATGAAATAAATGCCTCCCATACTGGATAGATCAGTAATTATTTGTTGGAATAATATCGACTATTTGGTTGGAATTCTTCATCGGATTTACGAAACAATTGAACAGCGAACGAGTCTGCTAACAATCTCTGCCGGCCGGTGATTAAAAAAATAATAGACGCACCATAAATCGATCCGAATATTACCATCAAGAGCATCATGCATTTCTCGACTGTATAGTGCACCATGAGTATCGATCACGATATCCATTTCATAAAAAGTAAATTTAGGGTTTTTGATAGCAATTTACTTTATCTGTGTTACTAGGTTTACTCTTGTTGGGTAGTAAAATCAGTAATCAATCACATGTGTGCTTAATATTATTAATAAAGATCACAAAACTCAATAAAACAATATAATTCTAATACATGCCAATTGAACTACATAAAACTTGACAATACAAAACAATTCAGGTTAAATTAAAGTTTGGAAACTGAAAACACCTCCCAATCAACCCATTTAAAAGAATCATTTGAATGTCTTATTGAAATTTGGTATGAATGATTCTTAGCATAAGGATTGCCCAACAACAAACTACCAAAACATAAACCACCAAAATCAGGGAAAGAAACATTACGATCATAGATGGCCTTTGAACTATTATTAACAAAACTTACTATATTCTTATCCATATTTTTATCTAATGCGAATACAAAACTTTCTTCAGTTTCAGACCAACCTTTATTGGAACCCCATGAAAGTGGATTATATCCACCAAGTATTTCTTCTGTATCCAACACCTTGCCAACTGCAATTGTGGGTCCTTTGTCATTACACAACTCCCTAAATTTTTCAATTTTCTCACCGTCTTTACTTTGCCTATAAAGCAGAGTAAGCTTATAAGCATAAACTTGATTATTATTTTCTTGAAACCGTCTTGTTGCTTCCACAATCTTTGATGAGATCCATTCTGCTTGCTTTTTGTTAATGATGAGTGAATCAATATCTTTCTCTTGTTCTGCTTTTGGTGGTAACATGCATGCTTGCCATGTTCTTGGTGGTAACAGTGGAGTCTTTGGTTTGTAATTTTTGTTTATATGATAATTCATTATATCATGACGCAGCGTTTTTGGTAATAAATCATCATACAGAATAACTTTGTCAGGAGAAATGCTGAAAAATCTTATATGTGGTATACAATCTCTGACAATATCTTTAATTGTGTTGGTGTCATTAGATGACCAATCATCAGGATCAGTTCCAAGTCCTCGTTCAGGCACTTGTTTAGTAGCCCATTTGACAACTGAAATCAAAACATCATCTTCATTCATGTTTAGTTCATCAATCTTGAGGAGAGTAATTAAGGTCTCCTTTGGTAAGGTTACAAGATCATTTGATTTAAAGACAATATCTGGGTGGGATGCAATAATTCGATTACAGTAGGCCAGAAGTTTGCTTAAGGAGGTTGTGGATGCAGCATACTTGTGGACTGTAAGAATGTTCTGTTGAATCCATTCATTTTGTTCATCAATCAAATTACTTTCAATTGCAGTGAAGAGATCAAGTAGCTCAAATTTGCTAGCTCCATCCAAAAGACCGATCCAATTTATAGTCTCACATGAATCATAGGATATTCTCCCGGTGTAAATATACCTATAACAATAAATTATTCAGACTGGTACGATAATTTATGCACATCTTTGGACAATTTTATAAAATTTACCTGAGCAATATTTCGAAAACGTCAGGAGTCACATCTTCAAACGTTATGGCTGTTTTTTGAATTACTTCAGATGTCTCTGTATTTCCAGTTAAGCTGTTCTCAAGAAATTTGCTTCTCGTACATAATACCAATGTATGAGCGAAAAATATTTTACTATTTGGCTCCTTCCCAGTATGGATCGAAACATCTGTATATTTGCCACTTTCATACAGTTTCTCATAGTCAGTTGCAAGAATTGAGGGCAAGTCGACGATGTTATTCATTATGCAAAGTCTTTCAAAGCGATGGCTCAATAAGACTTGCTGGCATTATCCATAGTCTGTGCAACATTGCATTGTCATCAGATATCAGGTGAGCTTGTATTACGTACATTTGTTTATAGGCAGAGAATAAAATAATTCACTGAATTGCTTCAACACGCTTACATTTGTTTGCTTTTAAATTATGCTGATTGATTAACAAACACGTTAAAATTTACTGTAACTGGCAAATATTTTGCATCAGTTGTTTTAGACCTAAGTCTTATATTATTACTATTACAGTTTATTACATTTCATATTACGGTAGTATTTTTAGTACCCTCTTAGAGCTTACTGCAGAATGACTTTATTTTTAGTGTTTGACTGCGTAAATCAAATACAATTTGACATTTTTAGATAATTCACTAACGTTAATATTGTACTACTATACGAAATTTGGCGACTCAATGACATATTTCGTTTGTTATTACAATACTGTATATTGCAAATAAATTCGCGTTAACTTAAAGTATATATAGAAGACTGACTTGAATTGTTATGATTAGTATAATAATAAGTATCATGTAATTCCAAAGCTTACTGTATATAAAGTTTCTTGATTGAATACAAGAATCATGGATTAGACTAAAATTCATAATATAAATTAATTCTCACCCAACCACTCATTCAGCTTCTCCTTCAATTGTTTAATCTTGAGTGGTTTAGTTAGATAGTCATTCATGCCCGCCTCTAGACATTGTTCGCGCGTCCCTGCTATTGCGCATGCAGTTAATGCAATGATTGGAAGCGTCTGAAACTCCGGACTTAATGACCTGATTGCTCGTGTTGCTTCAAACCCTGACATAACAGGCTGAATTATTAGAATATAGTAACGAGTACGATTAGTATATCTTGAATATCTTCGTTTGATATCAACCGTATACCATCAATGCCTTCCTTACCATAGCACAATCCATCAAAATTAACGATATCCCCAGTTTGGACTCCAACGACTGAGAACTATCCACGCCACTCGCTTGGCTATTCTCATACTGCGTCTGCACCAAATCAACTGCTTCCTTTCCGTTTTCCGCTTCTAAATAATTATAACCTAATTTATCCAGCTGGGTTTTGACGATCTAAACAAATAAGTAATCATCAGATCAATCCATTAACATTCCATTATTACTAAGCAGCAGCAACATACTTTTCGATTGATCGCATTGTCGTCCTAATAATATTATAAACAAATAAACTTGTTAGCTAACAAGCATTTGACGCCGAAATCCAATAGCAAAAATGATAAATACATTACCACGTAGAGAATACATTTGGGTAATCCTCCAACTCTGTTTGACTTGCTTGTTCTTTCTTCATTACTAGATTGATCCTTCAATTCACTAGAAGCAGATCTCTTCATTGGAACAAACTGCGTACTGACAGCTTTGGACTTGGACTCGCTCTCATCCTTTGAGGATGGCATACCACCTCGAACCACGATTGGTTCATTTGTATCTTTTTCTTTGGATAACAGACTGTAGGTCGATTATGATTGTAGAATTTACTGTATGTCGATATACTATTATTTTTCGTTTCCTTGTTATCCTCATCTCCAGGCTTAACCAAAAACATGTTGAAATTAGAAACGTAGTCCATCATACAATTGTGCATCACTGGCTTGCAGATAGCCGCAACATCTGTTCCTATTTTCCCGACCATACTCTTTCTGAGCGTGTAACCTCCGATTGACAAAAACACCATCAATACAATTGATAACCGTTCCCACAAACACGCTTAAGCTCCTTGGCTGCATTCTCAACTTCTGTAGCGTTACTATTTCTCACGCTCAAAAATGCCAAATCACATATACGCTCGTCGTGCTTCTTCTTATGCTCTCTGGCCGCTTCTAGTGCGCTTGCATAATCTGCATACGTATATACTTTTTCAACACTCCTCTTAATCAACGTCGCGTACGCCGATCTTGCTGCTTCCACAGGATCGATTATAAGAACATTTCTAGCCCGATTCGGCTGACTTTGCAAATTGGAACTATCATCTCGAGATGGTAGCATTGGTATTGACGGCAAGGATATATTCCTAATATTCCACGTAAACCAGAATTTGCTTCCTTACCAACTTCACTGTCAACTCCGATTTTACCGCCGTTTAGTTCAACAAGACTTTTGCATAGAGAGAGACCTAGACCAGTTCCATCTCGACCTCGAGTCATCGAAGCATCTACTTGCGAAAAGTTTTCCCAAATATGTTTAATCGACGCCGGGTCAATGCTAAATTAATTGGATCATGAGATACGATATAAAATACGCGGGTGTAAGGCCAAAAAAGAAAGATGGAAGAAACATGAGACAAAGCAAGCATCTTACCCAACACCAGTATCAGATATTTCCACGCACAAAAGTTTGTTCAAGTCAGGGTTATCATCTACCGCCATGTTTTCGCTATTTCTTATCGATAATTTTATTACAATTTCGCCATTATCTGTGAATTTGATTCTATAAATTTAACGATCATTAGAAAACGTATCCACGAAAACTAATTACGATTATAGCCAAACTGAGTGACATTCTTACGCGTTAGATAACAGATTCATTATCACTTGTTGCAGCCTCTCTGGATCCGTCTTTACATATCTCGAAAGAGTCTCCGGGTCGTATAGAACGATCAATTCGAGCTCCTTTGCACCAGCGCGCTCACCAAGCATTGTCACCGTCTTCTCTACAAGCGCCCATAAATCAAAGACGCGGTCTATCAATGTAAGCTTACGCGCATCCAGTTTTGCTGTATCTAGGATATCATTTACTACAGATATAACCACATCGGATGCACGGGACATTACTTCAACCATATCTTGTTGTTCAGATGTAAGCTCTGTTCCTTCAAAGGCAGAAAGCGATCCAGTAATTGCTCCCAACAGGTTACGAAGCTCTGTTGATTATTAAAAGAAATTATTATCATTATTATTGTGGCGACTGGCATAGGTAACAAGGCTCGTCTTCCTTACCGTGAGATGTGTTGGCTAGTATTTGGCCTTTAGTTCTATTAGTCTCTTCGATGGCCTTTACTTGTGCTTCTCATTTTAATTTTTCTTCAACGAGGGTGGCATGACTAATGGCTAAACTTATTTGGTTCGAGACCTGATGTAGGAAATTCGTCTCAGACTCTGTCCATTTATGATATGGCTGTCGGTAAGCAACTATCCACCCCCACGGTGACGGTTTCAAATGATGGCCCCGCTGAGAAAGGACACGCGTTGATTCAAAATTTTTGATTCACAGTCCGAACAAGCTTTTATATCATTTAACAACGAATCTGGTTCTATATGTCTATCACAGTGATGAAGAGGAGGCCCACGATTTGTCGCCGATGAAGAATCTGCAGTTGTTTCTGTTTGCTGCTGTTTATCACGGAATATACGCCCAACAATTTTCTCCGTTTTATTCGTTGAAGGCAATGAAGCTGCCATCACTTTACCGCCAATATTCTCTTTCTCGGAAATATGCTGTACTATTAGTAAAGAATCACATATTAAAACCTTCTTTATTTCTGAGACCGCCGTGTCGAGCGTTTCTTGTATTCCAAAACCGGAACGAATTTTGTTGCT